AGACTTTGAATGGCATTTCATTGGCCAGTAAGCGATCACTACCCTGTTCACATCAACACAGCCACGGTTAGTTCCCAATTTTAGTCCTAGATTATATACATGTTTTCCTGTCTACAAAATATGCTACTCACCACTTGAAAAATGTGGGTATTTATGCTATAGAAGACTGAAGAAAAGCTATATGAACCAGAAGGGAATATTTTCACTTGTCCCAGGACAGGAATGTTCTTGTATATGTTTAGTTTTACCTTTTAAGGTCACTTTGTATAAAACAGTCAGCAGAATATTGGAAGACACTTGATCAGATCAAATCTGAAAGAACTCACAGTAATCTCTTTCTGTTTTTAAATAACCATTTCAGTTCAACTAGGAGTTAAACTAAGACTGTTGTCTTATTCTGAAGGGAGGATGTGTCTTGCCAGTGTCTTGAAATGTATTGTATTATAGTGATTTGTCTGATTGAGTAACTTTTTTCATAAATTCAAGTCTGACTGGCTAGATTTTATACCTTTGAGATAATGAAAACAAAAACAAACAAAAAGAGGAAGAAAGGAGAAGAAAAAACAAAGGAAATCTTTTTCATATTGTTCATTCTGTCTAAGCATCTAAGTCTAAATCTCTTTCCTTAAAGATTAAGGATTGGACTTCCCCGCGACCCTGTTTGGGACTAAGCAGTATAGGTAATGGATGGATTATTAAAGTTTTTTTTTACATTTCATTTAGATTCATTGATAGACATATTACGTATATCGGCCATTCATCTTGAGTTTACAAATATTTACACAAGGTAACATGCATTCCCATGTTGCTATGACTTGAAGTTTCAGGTGCAACAGGGCAAGTCACAATTAAAGGTTGGATGATCACCTTTGAGGGCCGTGTAATCTCTGAGGGCATCACACCAACATTTGCAACGGGACTTGCTGCTGTCTTTGCTATCTACTACATATTCAACCTTCAGTATCAAGATGAGGCAGCCTGCACTCTGGAATTCATTCAGAGGTAAAATCCCATCATTCCTTGTCATCATTATATGAATATATACAATTAAATTAATGTGTTTGTATTTCTTTGCATAAAATGGTATTAGTACTGTACATTTCAAGCCACAACACACACACACACAC